GCAGCAATAGTCACTGAACTTATCATGTGCCAGAAATCTTGGTAGGCGCCATTTACTTAAGATACAACTTTGTATGGAATGACAGTACTGAGATTACTTTTTTTTCATTTTTTAAACTAGAAAGAGGATAGATGGTTTAATTATATTCCTTTTTATGATTATGCCCTATTTCCAAGAAGAATCCAAAACGACTTACTGCAAAAATACATAAAGACTGAGCCTTAGTGGAGGGTAAAAATCACATTAAGTAATAAATATGGAAAAAGTATACCAAAAGTCTTTTTTTTTTTTTTAATTATAGGCCAGGTTGGAAAGTCATGATGACTGAATTGAAACCCTGTCCTAAATGGGCAAAAGACATGAACAGAAATCTCACAGAGGAAGACATAGACATGTCAAAAAGCACGTGAGAAAATGCTCCGCATCACTTGCCATCAGGGAAATACAAATCAAAACGACATTGAGATACTACCTCACACCAGTGAGAATGGGGAAAATTAACAAGGTCGGAAACAACAAATGTTGGAGAGGATGTGGAGAAAGGGGAACCCTCATGCACTCTTGGTGGAAATGTAAACTGGTGCAGCCACTCTGGAAAACTGTGTGGAGGTTCCCAAAGAGTTAAAAATAGATCTGCCCTATGACCCAGTAATTGCCCTGCTGGGGATTTACCCCAAAGATACAGATGCAGTGAAACGCCAGGACACCTGCACCCCGATGTTGATAGCAGCAATGTCCACAATAGCCAAGCTGTGGAAGGAGCCAAGGTGTCCATTGAAAGATGAATGGATAAAGCTGTGGTCTATGTATACAATGGAATATTCCTCAGCCATAAGAAACGAAAAATACCCACCATTTGCTTCGACGTGGATGGAACTAGAGGGTATTATGCTGAGTGAAATAAGTCAATTGGAGAAGGACAAACATTATATGGTCTAATTCATTTGGGGAATATAAAAAATAGTGAAAGTAGTGAAAGGGAATAAAGGGGAAAGGAGAAAAATGAGTGGAAAATATCAGAAAGGGAGACATAACATGAGAGATTCCTGAATGGGAAATGAACTAGGGGTGGTGGAAGGGGAGGTGGGCGGGGGGGTGGGGGTAACTGGGTGGCGGGCACTGAGGGGGGCACTGGATGGGATGAGCACTGGAGGTTATTCTATATGTTGGCAAATTGAACACCAATAAAAAAATTATATTAAAAAAAAAAAGAAACCCTGTCCTAATCCTAAACTTCGTGATAGCAAAAGCAAAGAGGAAAATTCAAATGGACATGTGGCCTTTTGAAAAGACACTACACTACCTCAATAGAGAAAGTTTTCCAGCCTGAGCTTTTCGAAGAATTTGCAACCAGGTTTTTTGTTTAATTCTAGTGGGGAAAATAATAATAATAATAATAATAATTCTAGTGGGGAAGAAGGGAATGAGAAATGAAGGGAAATAAATTTAAACAAACAAGCCAGTTTCTCAATATTTAAAAATAAAACTTTAACTACAATTATATATATTATGTTTCAAGTTAATTTTTTTCAATTAACATGTATTTTGTGATTAACTTAGAAATGATCTTGGATTAACTATTACTCTGTTTGCTACTTGAAAGAAGTTTCATTTTCAATAGGACTATAAAATTTTATGAACAGTGCTTTAAAGCTGCCCTCTTTGCTTTTGATTTTTTTCACATAAAAGAGATTGAGCTGTTGGCAAGACTCATAGCCAGAATCGATTAATGGATTCCTTCCAAAATAACCATCCGATCAGACCCAACTCACTCTTACCTCCCATGCCTTTAGGCTTAAAAAAGAAAAGTTAATAAAGCAGGTAAGTAAAACAAATGCAGATTGATTTGATTTAAATACAGTTGTAAAAACTTCCAAAGTTTTTACGTATGACCTCTCTTTAGAAAAACAACTTACAGAGAAAACCTCTTCTTTTGTTGTTGCTTAACACATAGAAAGAAATGCATCTGAAACCCCAAAACTATTAAAAATGCTAACACTTTTTAATGTGGTAAAATATATATAACATAAAGGTTATCATTTTAACTGTTTTAAGTTTATAGTCACACTGTTGTGTAACCGTCACCATGTTCATTATTTTTTAATATATTCATAAGCCACATCTCATTGTGTTAGAGCAGGCAGTTATTTAGACTTTAATAGGACACCTGGAGGCCAACCAAGAGGAGGAGGTGTGTCATGGCTCACTACCGCTATCAGAGAAAGTTAGAGACCTGCCCTGGCAGGGCTCCAAAAACAAAAGCCACAGAAGCCAGATCAAACCAAAAAGACCCAAGACAAAGAAGGCCAGAGACTCTGATCAAGTAAGGGAGAAAATGTATGAAACCCTGCTCCCAAGAAATACCCTCCCCAAGTAATAAATATTCCATCCTCTAGTTAACGACTGTCAATAAAAGACAGAAACCCAATCCCCAGGGTGTGCAGCAATCCCTGAGCTTGCCTGCTTTCACAACTCAAGAGTGGACTCTCACTTTCATAAACTCTCCTACTTGCACCACTCAACTGTTGTGTCTAGTCTATCCTTGAATTCTTTCTTGCAAGGAGACCAAGAGCCTTCAGCGACATCTTTGAGATGGGCTGGGTTGAGGCCTCAGGGTCAAGGGTCTCCTCAGTCCACCCGGCAACAATTTTAGCACTAACAAGTCCATATTGCTTTTCTAAGTATCCTTCTTTGGAACTGAAATTTAAATATTTTCTTATCTAAGGAAAAAGCATGTTGACTAAATAAGAGAGGCAATTCATAGTATTAACCATAATCGATTTTCCAGTCTAAGGTTTCCATGACATCAGTAAACTATGTCCTAAAAAGATAAGCCTACCAACCAAATCCAATGAATTGTTTTCATAACTATACAAATAACTGAACTCAGTCCACAGCCTTGGATATTTGGAAAGAAGGAATGCTGAAATCCAGAAATGTGTAAGACAAATTGCAAACACTCCTTAATAGTAAAATGTTAAGTGAAGCTTTTCCTTTAAATTAGTCCCATTGTATGGCTTGGTGATATAGAGTAAAGCCAATAGTGAGCCAAGGGGCAGGAAAAGAGGATATATTACATAGATTCCAGAGGCACACATAATCCAAAGCAAACCATGGGGCGCCTAGGTGGCGCAGTCAGTTGGGCATCTGACTCTTGGTTTTGGCTTAGGTCTTGTGATCTCAGGGTCATGGGATGGAGCCCCGGCATCAGGCTCTGTGCTCAGCACAGAGTCTGGTTGAGATTCTCTCTCCCTCTCCCACTGTCCCTCCTGCTCGGGCTCTCTCTCTCAAACAAATAAATAAATCTTTTTTTAAAAAATTTAATTTTAATTTTAAAAGCTACATTTTTACCCATTAGAGAAGAATTTTCTAAGTACCTTGCTAGGCATTTCTAAGTAATGACACATTTACCTGCTACCTCTTTTAAAAGAATGAATTACAAGTAGAGACTAGAATTGGTGATAACTAATTGGGGTAATTTGGCCTTGGCATTATACATTTGGATTTTAAAAAAAAACTCTTTTTCCTAAGTGATTTCAAATTATATTAATTAACTAATCACAGACTACCTAAAAGCAACATTTATTTGTTTTATGGAATATTTATTGTGGCTTAATTGAATGAATGATATGATCTTTGTCTCTCTTCAGCAGACCTCTCTTATAAACATTAAAATATGCCTGCTATAAATGGGGGGAAATCCATATATACAATCAGCGCTGAAAAATTCTTAGTTAAGTAATCTTGAAACTTTTAACTTTAGAGGGCATCTGCAGTTCAAGCTCATATGCACGATGTAAGAGTTTGATCTTTTCCATAAATGGAAAGTACACTGGCTTACATCTTACTTATTGAGTTCTGATTGCATCAATCAAACCTAAGTGGCTACAATACAGTGACCACTAAACAAATGTCATATGAATGAATAAATACTCTAGGAAAGAGCCTTCCTGGAAGAAGGAGTTACCATTACCTAGAGAAGGGGAGGCATTTAAGGGAAAGTGGGGAGTTAGTGAATTTTACTTTCAGAAACAACAGGAAAATCAGACTGTTCCAAAACAACACATACAAAAAAGATTCAGATATAAAAACTACATCAGGGATAATAGTTCATACTTTATAACATTCTTAAAGTTGGTAGCTCTTTTGGGTCATATTTATTAGTGATTAGCAATAAAAAGCCTTAAAATAAAAGAATAAAATAAATAGGTATATGTCCACAGGGGCAGAAAGAAAGAGAGATTTACTTCATAGTGCTACTAGGAAGGAGAGGAACTGTAGATATAAGGGTGAGCAATGCCAGCTTTAACCAGACAACAAAATCGCATAAGATTATGTCTTTTTGTTTTATATTAAAACAGAAAACATGGCACATAACTGTTCATAAAATGTCTGCTAAATGAATGATTCCTTCCTACCATCCCTCCTCCCATTTCTTCTTCCCTTCCATTTATGTATCCCTTCTTTCCTTCCCTCTCTCCTTCTCTTTTTCCTTCCATCATCCAATTCCTCCCTTCTTTCCTCCTATAGCCTGTGAAGTCTAAAGGATCAAGAGATTCCTTAACAAGTGTCTTAAAAACTTTTCAGTTTGCTGTCTTAGAACCTATTCGAGATATATTTTAGTTCCAGGCATGGAACATAAAATGAACTCTGGCCTTAGTAGAACTTTCTACTTAAGAGAGAAAAGGCCACAGAGAGGAGAGAATCCATGGATATCATTAGCAGAAGCAGTCTTTGTCGTTTGCTCCCAGGATAGAAAGATCACACTCTGCAGCTCAGAAATTAGCATAATCCTACTCCAAGGACACCAGAAATAGGTAAAAATTACTTTTAGATCAGCCCCTTGTTCCTAATGGATATGTGAAAACCAATTCCCACATCATTCCCCCACTCACCTCCCCACAAAGTGGCTGCAACAAATACTTTTGCTCCCTCCAGGCCCTTTAGTCTCATACTCCAAAACGAAAGAACCTGAACTGAATTCAGTATCAGTCTCTTACCCTGCCAGGAAAGCTAAGGAGTAGGAGTTGTTCTTGGAAACAAATGCTGAGCGATGCGTCTGCGTCATCTTGCCTCGGGAAGGTTCTTCATTCTCTGAATCTGAGAGGCGTGCAGGACACTGGTAGGAGACAAGAGAGACAACACTGTCTATTTGGTGTGCCCATGGAATCTCCCATAGCTATTGTTTCACAGCTATTATAGGTTATTTCTCTCTGAGCACCCATGTTTCTAACTGTCTTTTGGAGATCCCAATATGAGTATCTCAAACATAGCTCAAACTTGATATATCCAAAATTCAATTCACTATTTTCTTCTCTAAGCCCTGCTATCAATCCAGCTAGAAGCCTCAATGTCATCTCTTGACTCTTCCCTTTCCCTTTCCTCAAAGTCATAATAACATTGTATGGAGGTTTTGAATACACACAATACTTTGCGATATTATATTAATGCTTAATATCAAGCCCAAAAAAGAGATTATTTGTCTTCTACAGGTGGCAAACTATGGCTCAGAATAGTTAATATGCCTAGGACTGTAGAGTTAATAAGTAGCAAACACCAGTACTTAAATTCAGAGTGTCCGTCTCCAAGCTGCCTCCATGCTAGTTCCACCCCATTCTACTCCTAAAATGTCTTTCAGATCTAACTCTTCCCATGTATACTCACTGTCAATGCCTTTCCTTAGAGTCTCATCCTCTTTTGCCTGGACTGTTGCAATAAACTACTTACTGGTCTTGCTCTCTTTAGCCTTTCTTCCTTCTATTCCTACCATACTATCAAGCACACAGATATAAGCCTATTACTCCCCAGCTTAATTGCTGGTGACTTCAGGATAAGAAACACCTCAGCATGATACAATAATCTTCATAAACTAGACCCACCTTCTTTCATAATTTTACTCTCATCAGTTCCCACAAAGGAAACTCCTTGAGCTCTAACACAAATTACTCTCTACTCTACATGTATCATCATAGACTTTCAAAGTCTACTCTCCTGGACATGCTATTCCCTTTGCCTAAAACCCCTATTCCATATTCTCTGCCTAAAAAGTACTCATTGGCCCTTCAGGAGCAACCTTTTTGTATATTTTTTATTGGGGTTCGATTTGCCAATGGATTTACCTCAAAGATACAGATGCAGTGAAACGGCAGGACACCTGCACCCCAATGTTTATACCAGCAATATCCATCCACAATAGCCAAACTGTGGAAGGAGCCTCAGTGTCCATTGAAAGATGAATGGATAAGGAAGATGTGGCCTATGTATACAATGGAATATTACTCAGCCATTAGAAATGACAAATACCCACCATTTGCTTCAACGTGGATAGAACTGGAGGGTATTATCCTTCAGGGGCATCTTAAATGCCACTTTCTCTGCAAGGGCTTCTAAATATCCCCAGAGTCAACTTTTTCCATCTTGTGAATACTCATTCAGTTACCTTCATTTTATTTTAGATACTCTTTTTTGAGTCTTTCACTTTACATTTGAAGTTTCTTTATATGCACTTAGAAAAGAAGTCTCGAAGGATAGTTACCAAAATGTTCATAACGATTATCTCTAAGTTGTTGGATGATGAGCAATTTTTCACCTTTTCTTTGCTATGTCTCTAATTATTATATCAAATTGTTTTCTAACAATTCACACTCTTATTGATATTAACTGTACCATAACAAATCATAGTGAGTTATCATATCCATTTTATTTTCACTCCAAACTAATAACAAGAGATGGTAATAACTTCTTCTAGAGTAAGTACTTTCCTTCCTCCATTTGAATTCAACTTGATTAACATGTATTAAACACCTGTGATATACACGATACTATAGGAGATTTTAAATAGCTAAGACACATTTCCCTTACTCAACCAACTCTAAAATCTAGCAGAGAAACACAAATACGCAACCATAACATCAGGAAGAGTAAAATAAATCCTGTAAAATCTACAAAGTTGGAAGGGGAGAGAGTAGATAATAGGAATGAAGAAATAAGTAAGGAATCCCTATGGGTTCCAGGAAGGTGACAGTTTTTGAACTGGGCATGGACAGATGAATAGCCTTTCAACAGGTAAGCAGGGTGGCATTTCAATTAGATGAAAATGCAAGAGCAAAGACTCTAAGGAGGAAAAGCATAAAGTTATATATTTGCGGGGAAGCAAATAGCTCTGTTCTCTAGGATCTTGGGATATGAGCAACGATGGGAAGATCAGTTAGAACAATACTAAAGAACTGAATGTTGGGGTTAAGAATTCTAGTTTAATCCCATAGGAAATGGGGAATTACCAAGTCTTTTGGGGCAGGAAAGTAAAATGATTACTTCAAGGCAGGAAAGTAAAATGATTAGTTCGAGCTCTAATCATAATGCTCTCTATATAAAATACAATCCTTCAGCTCGCTTTCCACTGAGTCTCTCTCTGAGCCTCTCTTTGGTCCTGATTCATATGTAGTCTTGGCTGAATTAAATGAAATTATTTTTCCAATACCAAAAACCCTTAACACATATTTAAGGCAAAATCAGAGCCATTTAAAAGTCCCCAAAAAGACAAGAGCAAACAGAGAAAGAGGCAAAATCACAAAAATCTAAAACTTTCAGTGTTCATAAGGACAGATTTTATTCAATCTGTTTTTGCATATAAAATTTTGTGAAACTTGGGGCACCTGGGTGGCTCAGTGGTTGAGCATCTGCCTTTGGCTCAGGTCATGATCCTGGAGTCCTGGGATTGAGTCCCGCATCAGGCTCCCCACAGAGAGCCTGCTTCTCCCTCTGCCTCTGTCTCTGAGTCTCTTTCTGTGTCTCTCATGAGTAAATAAAATCTTAAAAAAAAAAAATCGTGAAACTGGCTATTATCAAAGAAAAAAAAGTCTGAGGATTTATACTTCCTGATTTCTTTTAAGATTACAATTACATTACAATCCTTTTAAAATTACAAAACGTAGTTGATTTCTATGTCAAAGCTGGTGGTGGCAAAAGAAAAAGTAATTAGAGCAATTTCTTGGCCTTGACATGAATTAATACTAAAGATCATTTCCTGGAGGAAACCTGGATCTGGCAAGGCTAAAAACAGCAGGTTCTTTCTATCAAAGGACCACAGTGAAGGGAAAGCTCTCTTTGTCAAGATCAGTTTGTCCTAAAGAGAAAGGTCCTTCTGGGCCATTTTGCCTAACGGCTCTAAAGGACAGTCCTGTTGGGAGGGAAGAGGCAGAGCTGCAGTTTAGAGATTACAAACCATAGTTGGGCCTATTAGTCAGACAACATACCGTATGCACAAGACTATCATATGTTACTCTTGCCTTCCTAGCTTAACTGCATGCTCTTCAGTCTTTTTCCTTTTGTAGTTCCCAATGAACAGAGCAGTTAAGAGTACATAAGCATTTCATGTTTGTTAAACTGAATCTTTTAGAAGGGTGAAACCCTCCAAAATGCAAGTGATTACTTTTATTTTTTTATTTTTTTTCAAGTGATTACTTTTAATAAGAATTAAATACAAAAAAAAAGAATTAAATACAATGATTATTTTTATTATAACTGGGATCAAAAATGCACATGCATGTTGACAGCAGCAAATACCATCCAATTCAAGAAAGCTTAAATAATTTCATTTCCTGAAGTTCAGGAAAAATGCCTTTGCAAAGAGTAAAGCAAAAGCACAGTGAATTAAGTAACCTGGCCCAAAGTGCACAGTTACAATGCTGGGACTGGTTTAAGAGGCAGACTCCTGGTACAGAGATTTTGTTTTCCACTATTCTATGTTGTCTGTCTTATATATAAAGCTTTATTAATCCCAGATAATTAGAAAGTTCACCCAAAATACTAACAAGTTTAAATCACAAACTATTTTAAAAGATTATGACTCTAAAGATATCTTAAGTACACATAACAAGCAATAGAAAATGTCTGATCCAATACAAGGTATTAAAGAAAAAAAACTCAATTACAATTATCCATTTGAGCATCCAGTGGGCCTTCCAAAAGTGCTCTCTTACATACATTACATATACCATTTACAATCTTTTCCAGTAATTTGCTTGGTAAATAAGTAATGAAAAAAATTCAGGCAAGATTTGGCAAGATTAGAAGTCTTTTTTTTAAAAAAATTTTATTTATTTATGATAGTCACAGAGAGAGAGAGAGAGAGAGGCAGAGACATAGGCAGAGGGAGAAGCAGGCTCCATGCACCGGGAGCCCGACGTGGGATTTGATCCCGGGTCTCCAGGATCGCGCCCTGGGCCAAAGGCAGGCGCCAAACTGCTGCGCCACCCAGGGATCCCCAAGATTAGAAGTCTAATTCAGGTTAAACTAATAAATATAATATTGACACCTATCTATTGACACCTAGCACTGTGCTGCTTAAGGCATTTAAAAGAATAAAGGGAAATCAAATACAAGCTTTAAGGAAACTTACTTGAGGATATAAGATGTAAAAAACTCAAACATCAAATAACACAAGTCAAAATGACAACATATGTATAAAATTTCCACAAGTAGTGTTCTACACTAGGTATTTCCACTCAGTCACCTTTTCCCCCCAACTGTTCCTTTACTCTTTCCACCCAAGTCTATTGTCCCATTCGTGAATCATTTTCTCCAGCTCTCATCTGGATGCTAAGTTCTTCACTACTCTTAAGACTACACAGTTAGTGACTGTTACTGATTTCATAGCTCACCAACATAAATTTTTATATCCATGTCACCTGTGCTAATGACTGATTTAAGCCAGATGTCCAACAAAACGATGATCTACTTACATGTTCCAGATCTGTCTTCAGTACTAATGGCTCATCTCTCTTTTTCTGGTCATCCATTTTCCTTTTGCCTGTTTCCATATCCTCTGATAACAGCTTGTGGATTTGATCTTCAGAGGTTTTCTCCTCTTGTAACTTTTCCTCTCTCAGCTAAAAATACAAATCACACCAGAAAGAAGAGTTTTAGGCAACAGCAGACTTCAAAACATCTTTTACTCAGTAGTCTATCAGAACAAACAGATCACACGCAGTTTATTTTTCTTATTAGATACAAAGCCCTCTTAACTTTTAATTACTTTTTAATGCTTTTACTTGGCTCTTCCTGTACATATGCTGCAAGGCTTAATATTTAAATGCTCTGCATTCTTGAGCAGTATAAAATGATAAAAGCTATGTTGGGATCCCTGGGTGGTGCAGCGGTTTGGCGCCTGCCTTTGGCCCAGGGCGCGATCCTGGAGACCCGGGATCGAATCCCACGTCGGGCTCCCTGTACATGGAGCCTGCTTCTCCCTCTGCCTGTGTCTCTGCCTCTCTCTCTCTCTCTCTCTGTATGACTATCATAAATAAATAAAAAAATTTTAAAAAATGATAAAAGCTATGTTAATATACATAATCAAAAAATAAGATTTATTCACTGAGCCAAAAAAGGCTGAACCTAAACTTTCCTTATTCCCATAAACCAGATATAGTTGCATTAAGTCAGGCAAAGAGCCAAGATGTAAGCCACGAAAGGCCAAGAAGCTGAGTTAGGCAAGACAGGTCCTCATCCTATAGCCAACTGAAAAAAATATTACAGTTCTAATGTTCTGCAATTTATGCTATTATCTTGTGGTCCAGAGGGTAGGTTAAAATACATGGTTTGACCATAGGCTACACAAAAGGGCATGTCATTTCTAGAATATAGAGAGGCAGAGCAGCAAAAAGAGAAAAAGTTTTAGCATTATAAGAATTGCTATCACTTACTGAACTCTTAGGTGTCAGGTGCTGAGCTAAGCACTATCCATACATTATCCCATGTGAGAAAAGTAAGCTTTTGGAATTAGGTAATGTGTTCAAATTCACAGAGCCACAGAAATCAAATCTAGGCTTATCTCAGTAGTTCTCACCCGAAGATGATTTTACTTCCCAAGTACATCTAACAATGACTGGAGACGCCTTTGGTTGTCACAACTGAGGGCATGGGTGTGTATACTACTGTCAGACAGTAGGTGGTGGCCAGGGATTGCTACTAAACCTCCTAAATTCAACAACAACAACAACAACACACAGACACACACACACAGATGTTGCTATTTTTTAAAAAAACCATTACATTTCCTATTTTATATATTTAGCGTCATTTTGTTTAGTGCTTACTAGCATTTACATACTATGCCCTCTGGTCTTTTTAGTGTTTTAAAATGTATCTTCCTGCCCCTAATACTGTTTATTGCTGCTCTCAAAATTTTTGACAATGAACTTTAACAACAACTATGGCTGGTGAAGCCACCTTGCCATTGCAACATTGAGTCTCTAACACACTATAATCTTACCACAGCTAAAAATTAACAAAATTGAAAAACCCATATATGCATTTAAATCTTCACATGAGGGCAGCCCGGGTAGCTCAGCAGTTTGGCGCTGCCTTCGGCCTGGGGAGTGGTCCTGGGGACCCAGGATCGAGTCCCGCGTCGGGCTCCCTGCGTGGGGCCTGCTTCTCCCTCTGCCTGTGTCTCTGCCTCTCAGTTTGTGTCTCTCATTAATAAATAAATAATAAATAAATAAATAAATAAATAATAATAAATAAATAAATAAAATATTTAAAAAAATAAATATATCTTCACATGAATCATGTTTGTGTCTTCTTTATACTAGGTTCTGCAGAAGTTATGTTTTGGGTTTTTTTTTTTGTCCTTTTTGATAGTTTTTAATAAGGACTTGAAAACTTGGTCTCTAGGAAAGAGGTTTCATATTCAGGGAAAATGCCTCGGGGAGTGTCCAAAAATAGCATATAAACTTGAAAAAGCTGCACTGTACTGAATTTTTTCTTGTGCCAGGCACTACGTTTATAGAGCTATCCTCACTTAAACATTAAGGGTTCTGTGTATATCCATCATTATCATTTTATAGACACAAAAATTAACACTCAGCAGCTAAAAGTCACAGAGATTAAATACTAAAGGGCTTTGATTTTAAAGCAAACCACTGGCTTCAGATACCAGGGCTTCACAAACTCAGCTACCTTTGGGCCATATGATTCTTTGCTATGGGGGAGCTGAACAGAGTCTGAGAAGAAGCTCATGCATAAATATCTTATTTGGGAGCAGGAATTGAGGACAGAGTAACACAACGAGGTAAAAAGCCAATAAAAGTGGTGTGACAGTCCAGTAATTGGCTACAGAGGACAATATGAGAAACTACATGAAATGCATCTCAAGACTGAGTCTGAGATGAGAAAAAGGGAAGCACAAATCTACTGACTCCTCTCTTTGATGAAAGTTTGCTTCACAGGGTGTTAAATACCCTTCACACTGGCTTGTACAACTTGAGGAAGTTCCCATGGTAGGCACTGCCACCGCACTAACAGAGAAGCCCTAATGCTAACAGCAAGAGGCAGGCAGTAAGAGCTAAATAAGATCTCAGGCTGCACCAAAGTGAAGCTGCCCACTATTATAAGTGGAATGATTTTTACTGCTTCCATTCTTAGATGCTAATTATTAGAGAAAAACTATTGACTTCTGTACATTCATCTCATACCCAGTCACATTACCAAGAAATCCCAGGTAATTTTTTCCTGAAGATAACATGTTTTCACTAGTTTTTTTTTTTAAGATGTTATTTATTTATTTGAGACAGAGAGTGTGCGAGCGTGCACAAGTGTGGTGGAGAGCAGAGGAATGATAAGGCTCCCTGCTGAGCAGGGAGCCTGCCTCGAGGGCTCAATACCAGGAACCTGATGCTGATATCATGACCTGAGCCAAAGTCAGCCATGTAACCAACTGAGCCACTCAGGTGTCCCCTTCACTAGTTTTGAAGTGAAGGGGGCACCAAAATTTGTTTATCCACTCAAGAGTTAGACATTTGTGCTGTATTTAGTTTGGGGATATTATGAATAAAGCTGCTAAAAACATTTACGTCTTTTTGTGGACAGATGTTTTATTTTGCTTGGCTAAACAGCTACAAGTGGAATTGCTGGGTCATATAGTAAGTATATGTTTAAAATTATAAAGCAATTGTCAAAATGTTTCCCATCATGGTCATACAATTTTATACTCCCACTGGCAACACATGAGAGTTTTAGCTGATTCACAGTCTCATATTTATTCTCACTCTTGGATTGTTAGCCTTTTAATTTTAGCCATCCTAGAGGATTTAGGGGCTATCCCATTGTGGCCTTAATAACAATTTCCCTGCTAGCTAATTATGTTGAGCATTTTTTCATGTGCTTAGAAGTATATCTTCTTTTGTGAACTGTCTAGTCAAACTTTTCACTCCTATTATTATTATTTTTTTACCTTATTACTTGGTAGGTGCAAGAGTTTACAAATTCTGGACATAAGTCCATTGTTAGAGACACATTTTGAGACTGTTTTCTCACACTTGTTTTGGCTGTTTATTTCCCTATTAATAAGTGAAAAATTTTAACTCTGATAAAGTCCAATGTACCAATTTTTTCTTCTGTGATTAGGATTTTTTGTGTTCCTGTCTAGAAGATCTTTGCCTACTCTAAGGTCAAAAATTATTTTTCTTCTATGTTTTCTTCTGCATAGTTTTAGCTTTTAAATTCAGTCTATGACCTGTTTTGAACTAATTTTCTATATATTGTATAGAGATCAAGATTCACTTTTATAGATTCACAGGATACTCAGTGTGTTCCAGCACCACTGATGAAAAGGCCATTCTTTTGCCACTGAATTACTTTTGTGCCTTTATGAACATCAGTTGACTATATATGAGTGGGTTTATTCCAGGATTATATTCTATTCTATTCCACTGGTCTATATGTCTTTTCCTTAGGCCAATACTATATTGCCTTAATGACTAGCCTTATAGCAATCCTTGAAAGCTATAATTGTAATTGCTTTATTTGTAATGGCCTCCAGTAATAGCATTCATTATTCACAAACAACATAATCCTCCATGTAGAACACCCACTAGAATCTACAAAAAAACTACTAGAACTACTAAATGAATTTTAGCAAGATTATAGGGTAGAATAGCAAAATATAGAAATTAATTAATTATATTTTCATTTACTCGCATGAACAATCAAAAATGAAAAATTTAAAATATCATTTAAGATAACATAAAAATGTGAAATACTTAAGATAAATCTGACAAAAGATGTGGAAACTGAAAACCACAAGCATTGTTGACAGAAATTAAAGAAGATCTAAAAAAACAGGATTTATCATGTTAATGGATCTGAAGACTCAATATTATTGAGATGCCAATTCCCCCCAAATTGATCTATAGATTCAATGCAATCCCAATCAAAATCCCAGAAGGCTTTTTTTGGTAGGAATTGGCAGGCTGATACTAAAATTCAGATGCATATATAGAGAAGGAAGAATAGCCAAAATAACTCTGAAAAAGAACAATCTGGAGAATTAACATTGTTAGATTTCCAGACTTGTTATAAAGCTACAATAATCAATCAAAACAGCATGGTATTGGTAAAAAATAATCAATGGTAGAGATAGAAAATAGAGTTTAGAAGTAAATCAACAAATATATAGAAAACTGATTTTTGACAAAGGTGCAAAGGCAAGCCAGAGGAGAAAGGATAGTTTTTTCAACAGACAGAACTGGAACTTAATATCCATATGCACAAAAAGGAGCTTGGATCTATACTCACAATACGGATAAAAATTCACTTGAAATGGATCATAGACCTAAACGTAAAGCCTAAAACTGTGAAACTTCCTGGAGAAAACATAGGAGAAGATCTCTGTGAACTTGGGCTGGCCAAAAAATTCTTAAATATAATACCAAAGTACAATCTACAAAGAAAGAAAACTTACATACTGTCTTTTATGAAAGTTAAAAGCTCCTGCTCTTCAAGAGACTCTAAGAGAATGAAAACACTGACACAGCCTGGGAGAAAAACATGTGCAAAGCATATATCTGATAAAAGATTTGCTTTTAGAATATACAAAGATCACTTAAAA